TTTTTGCGCGCGAAGCACGAAGTCCTTGGTTTTTGCACTTTTGTGCATCCTTCCCCCCCTGAAGCAGACGCCCCTCCGCGAGAAGGGGTGTCGGTCGCGAAACGCGACACGACAAGGGCGAAAGCTAACAAAGGTGCGGAGGGGGGCTCACTTGTTTGGGAGCCCCTTTACGGGGGTCATATCCGCACAAGCCATGCGTGCAGCGGTATTGACCGAAGCTTTTCTGGACGTCCAAAGATATGCTAGGAAAGCATCGGAGTTCCACCGCCCCCAAGTGCGCAGCACATATGAATCCATGCCGCCTGCCCACATAGCGGACGCGCCTCCAAACCTCAAGGAGTGTGGTGTGTAGGCCTGCGCGTCCTCACCCAAAGACGCCGCGATGCTCTGCAGGGCGGTCTGGATGTCCTGTCTGGAGACTGCTCCGAAGAACCTCTCCTCGGGGTGCGGCGGAGCAGCCTGCCACTTTAACTCCGAAAACTCGATAGTGGCCAAGACTGGGCACACCTCGGCGTTACTGCGGGGAAAGGAGCTCTCCACGGCGATACAAGGTAACATCCTTTACCCGGAGGCCGAGAGGCAAGAAGGTCCTCGGGCATGTGATCATCGAGGTGGTGATCGAAGAGGCCCGAAAAATGGTCTTCCCCTCTTGCTCTCCAGGCGAACCGCAGAGCCCCAACAGCGTGTTTCCAGCCTTGGCAGCGTCTGAGCAAGGTTGTGCCTGCTACGACTGCTGCATTCCAGGCCTCCAGCGAGTAGGGCACATTATGCACGCTACGAAGGTAGCTCTCGGCGGCTTCTGCGGTCTCTTTAGGAAGCTCAGTTGGGAGCCAAGAGGGCGCCGGTCCCACGGAGGGGCCAGACTGAGGGAACAGCTTCCCCCAGCGGACCGAGCTCTCGACATAGTTCTCGACATCGCTGTGAGTGTCGCCCCTCTCGAAGCATTCTCGTAGTCTTTGAACCTTGCCCAAAATGGCAGCAGGGTCTCCTTCTCCCCCCCCGCCGCCCGGGCAGAGGGCCGCAAGCACGGCCGACACGGGCAGGCTGAACTGAAACGACGCGCGGAGCATAGTGACGCCCGGGTCAAGACCAAACAGCCGCCCCGCCTGACGCGCGGCATGCCACGCAGCCCCCGCGAGCTGTACGCGGGTGGCTTTGTCGGCCCAGGCCCGCCGATAAAGGGGGGCCTCGATGACGCAATGACCGCCGGCCTGCAGCTGGGCAGCAGCAAGGCGCAGAGCTGGAAGCCACGGCTCCCGGCAGGGCCAGCGGGCAGCGCAACCGGGAGCAACCAGAGGCAGGCCACGCCCCCTTCAGCAACGTACAATCGCCGACGCAACGGCGGCCGCGTCGGGCAAGGGGCCCCAGGCACCGTCAGCAGACACGTGGGTGTCCGCGGCGCCGAAAACCAAGAGCGGAACAGGGTGACCCGCGGGAGGGAGCAAAGGCAGCAGAGACCTCAGACAGAGCGCCGGGCCTGGAGCAAGCCACGGCTGGCGGAGCGGGCGGGAGCGCACCGGCCCCGAAACGGGCCTCAGTGGACACGCCGCGTCCTGCGCGGAGCACCTGCAAACCGAAGGCCCCGGCTTCGCGGCCGGTCCGAAAGGAGCCGAGAGAGCGTTTGGGGTGGCACACCTGGCACTGGAGGAGGCGTGAGGCCTCGAGCAAAGGCGAGCCCTCGGCTCCTTCCAGGTAGGCTTCCCAGCCGGCGGCTTCTATTTCACGGCTGCCAAGGGGTGGCACACAAGGCTGGTCTGGGCGCAACAAGCGCATATGCCCCCGATGAATGAGCACCCAACGCGTGTGCTCTGCAAGGCCGTTGTAGCCGCTGCCGCAAATCACTTCGACGCTGGGACGCATATAGGCGTCAACGCGCAGCACAGCCAACCCCAGCTCCGCCCATTCGTCGAGCGGGTGCGCGACCAGAGTGCGGTAGTCCCGATCGTGCCCGAAGTGGAGCAAATCGTGATGGAACACTCGGACGTCAGCTTCGGCTTGCGTAATCCGGGAAGGCACGGGCCCCAGAGAGTCCTCCACAACTCGCGCCTGGCAGGACCAGCGCTCTCGCCATTCCACAGCGAGCTCCTGTACCGCCTCAGCGCCAGGCAGGGGCGCCCCGGGCGCACTGAGATAAGCGGCCGCAACGTGGAGCAAAAGGCACTGTTTGGGCTCCGTCTCAGCAGTCGCAAACCCAAGCCGGTCGCAGAAGTCAGGCGGTATCTGCAGCTGGTCCTGGTAGTCGAACATGGCCCACTGTCCTACACCATTCCACGTGAGAGTGCCAGCACCAATGGACGAGTTCCAGGTAACAGGAGAGAGCTGCACAACAGGGGACTCGCCGGCTTTGCGGTGCAAGCCGCGAGCCTCAAGCAGGCGTGCAGCTTCCTCGGCGAGCTCGGGGCCACCCAAGGCAACCGCCTCTTCAAGGAGCTGCGTAACATCGTCAAGCCCCGGAGCCTGGTTCGTTTCCTCACGCTGTCTCAGCAAGCGGTTACGCAAATACACTCCCACCAGCCCAGAAGGGTAAGGGCCAAGGTTTTGCTCAGCTGCATCGACTTCTCGCATATGGGCGGCCCGCTCTGTATCTTCAAAGCTGGCGCTGGAGCGAGTGAGGGTCGCGGCATTGGCATCGACGTCCTGCCACCATCTTTCCGTCCTGCTTGAGAAGGGAGCCCAACGTCTCCTCACGATCCGTAGGCAGGACGTCGTTCAGGTCGGCGACGACGTGAAGGGGCAAGGCGTCCTCGTGCGTCCTCTCGCCTGCCCTGGAGGCCCCCTCGGCAGTGCCGTTGCCAGTTCCTGTCTGGGCCTGACCGGCTTTCTGGGTAGTGGAAGCTTTGGCCTTGGCAGCAGCGATGCCCTCCTGCTTGGAGGCTGCAGCTTTTGCGGCCTGCTCAGCCCGAATGCGGGTAAACTCCCTTTCCACCTCTTCCGAGGTTTTGGCTTTTGAGTTTCGGAGGCCGCCCCGACGGAGAAGTTGCAGCTGGACAGTATAGTCTAAGCTGGTCCACTTCGGTATGGCCTTGTGTGAATGCGGGCAAGCGCTGCCCTTGTTGCATCCCCTGTGGCCAAGGTAGTCCCAACAAAGGTACTGGCCCTGCTGATCCTTCGGTCGGTGGTCCAGTGATCTGGAAGCCTCCTTTGGGGTGAGGCCGGGTCCCAACAGCTTGGGTGGCCCAGCCCCACCAGCGGCATCGCTTCCCGCCCGGCCGCCTCGCGGTGGGGCAGGAGCGTCGCCAGGCTCGGTTCGAGCCTCGGCTTGCTCTCCCCCACCGGCAGCGCGGCCGCCTCCACCAGCCCCCCTTTTCTGCGCGCCGGCCCAGCAGGCGCGCGACAACTGCCTC